CTACCACAAGTCATTGTATAGGCCATATACGCACTCATTACGCCACTACGATTCTGAATGAATGGAAGTCGAGTGCGGGGGCGCATCCTCCAGACGGGATTGTTTAACGCCAAAAAATTTATCCTTTATCCTTTAATAAGGAGTACCATTAGGAAGGCGAGTGCCATTTGAGTCTCGATAGTGTAAGGGATCAGAGAACAGTGCTTGGATAACGTAGGTACGGGTTCGAGTACTGTATGAAGCCGAAGTTTTGTCCATGACTCGCCAAGCTTGTGAGAATAAGAAATACTGTTTATCGTTTAAACTGTTTCGTTTTGCGGGTATCATCGCACGCATTGTCTGGATATCGAACCGCGGATGAACTTTCTACAGGCCAACCAAACCTTCCGTACCTTCTAGTTAGGTCTGTTGATTAGAGACAGGTCTCTGAGAATAAAAGCACTGACTGACACGACTGGCCACCCCCAAGTCACTGTCTAGGCTACATACACATTAAGATACCGTTAGATTATCAAGAAAAACGAATGAGGAGGCCATACAATAATGAGGGTAATCAACGCGAAAAACTTCAAGTGTTTTCACTAGAGTACTTTGTAGTCAAAGGCAACACAATTGAATTTTTCTATTTCGTTCCATGTACGGCTTTCTATGAACCTCGGCATAATTGTATTATTGACTTTACTGTTTTCTTGAACTCTTTACAAGGTTTTTAAGTATGCTTTATTAGGCTGACGTTTCGGTTTCCTTTCGTTTCGTTTTCGTTTTTTTCGTTTTTTTTATTTCGCAAAACACAATTTTTACCTACACTAATGTGCATTAAGCACTATTTTTCGTCAACTTCGTGGAAACCTAATCTATAAAACATGTGAAAAGCTGAAATTTGAGCTGAGGGATGGCATTCATTAAGTTTTAGGCATTACTCGAAAGTTTTTTTCTAAGAGTTTCGGCCCTTGAGATTCAGAATAATTATGCTTTGTATGCTCATATGGCCAGACCATTGATTGCGGAAGCCAGCCAATCTACAAATCAAAACTTCCATCTTTCCAGACGAGTCTAGTTCCAACAGCTGACCTCTAAAAGATGAAATGTTTGCTCCTACGCTGGCAGCGGTCCAGATTCTATTCCTGGACTACTGCGCCACTTCCCCCTGCACTCCTTCCCCAGACTTTAGATAGCTTTGAAAGAAAACGTCGACCGGATGCAAAAGGCACCGATCATTCTCTTTCCCTCATAACAATCATTGGCCAACATTGGTCAACTTCATCAACTTAAGATCATGTGCATACATTTATCCGAATCCACATAACCTTCCCCTTCATCTCTGATCAGGTTTTCTTAACATTTGAGTTCAGTTTCTCCTGCTCGGTAATGCAGGGAATGGGTGCGCTACCAGACGAATATAAGAGAATTCAAATTCATTCCATGGGAGTAGTCCTGCACAGATCTCTCCAACTTCTTCAACACTCAGCACTCGTCCTCACATCATAATGCTCTTTCAAGGCTGAATCAATCAAGATCGACCTGATCTTCCATAAAATAGAAAACTAAAACCAGTAGTCATGCCATTTGTCATAAGATTACTTTCTCCGATGTAACTGTCTTGCATGACCATTCCGATATACACATTACTTGACGACCTGTCTGTTGTTTGAACCTGACGTTCATCTATCGCTTAGTACTTTTTTGTTGTCGCGACGACCTTCGATTTCTGGAACCGTTTTCGTTCCCGTCTCGATATACCATTTCATTTAACAGCTTTACCACTCCAACGCTGACGGCGTCTGAACGCCATGCCATCTTCCCTTTCTCCTTTTGTTCCTTACATGGCCTTTATCCTCTTCATTGGAACCCCTTTACTTTCTATCTCAGAGCGTTTCACTCGCTGCTTAGGCCATTATAATATATCAGTTTTTACAGAAACTTATTGTAGGTGTGATGACATGGGCTGACCAGTCCCTTTAAAGTATAAGCCGTGCACACGACTTCTATTCAGGGCCGTTCCTGCGCTCAATAGCCTCTGTCCATCCATGCAACAAGCTTTGGGTCAAGCAAATCGGAACCTGTTACTTCCTATCTCGCAAAGTTGTCTAACACAAGCCTGAAGCGATGATACGCTTGTACGGAATCCAATCGCTGAACAAATTCAAGGGATAGAAATTTGTTTCGTGACATTTGTTTGTCTTTTGCGCTAAAATAATAACGATTCAAGCTCATGGTAGGAGGTCAAAGGCCAAATCTTTCCTGGTTAGGGCCGAGCTAGACTTTCCATCCCACGGAGAGTCTCTCGGAGAGTTAGTCCGATTGGCACCGATAGTATCACCTGGAAAGACACCCAAATTCACAAGAGTTAGCCTCGCAGTCAATGGATAGGGCCGAAGCTGCATTAAGAGGTCGGTCGTTGCTATAGTGAAGGAAATTCGTCTGTGCGGGAGCATCCCCTGAAGGAACTAATTTCTGCTTAAGGAGGGTTTTTGTTTGGGGGATTATGAAATGTCGTTTTTAAATGATCGCATGACCAGCAAGCCTACCATTACAACAAGTGCAGTAATATCAGATTGGATACCCAATTTGGATAGCTTTTCAACACCAAATGCTGTGCAGCTACAAACACTTCCTCTTTGGGTTATAGAGTAGGTTCCCTCCATCCAATATAAATTAGCAAAAAGTGCAAAGAAGGCCTTAACTTCACCAAGATTATGAGCCGCGTTGGCACTTATTTGTACCAACAATCGCCATTATTTTAGATAGTTTCAGAAAGTTTTCAAGAATGAGAAGCCAACTTTTTGTCAGCTGGAGGCTCTTTTCAAGGTCGACCATTAGAAGGACGTAGCGGGTCAGTTCTCTTGTGCTGGAATAGAGCTGCTGTTTCAATGGGCTAAGTTTTCAAACGAAGAAGTGAAAAGAAATCAAAGGAACGACCTGACAACATCCATAAAAGCACGCACTTGCTTAATTACCAGCCCAATCCTTTGTTTGAAGGAATCACACCAGCCAGTGATTGCATGACCATCAGAAAAAGCTTTGGCAGCATCGCCTAATCGTTATCTCCTTACGATTGGCACCCCATATGGAGCGTTGTTGAAGAAAACTCGTTGTCGCCCTACGACAGCTATAATCACTTCACCTTCTGCCCTTTGCTTATTTACTCCTGTCTTGAAGCTTGAACGTTGCCCTTAATGCACAGCATATGAGCAAAAGATGTTTATTTAGATTAAGGTCAGTATAGATTAGAGGGTTACAGCTTATCCCCGGGCGAGTCTTTGGCGACGGCGGTTTCTGGCGATACGACGATGGACCTTGCGTGCGCGGCGGTGGTGTCGTGCTCGCTTAGCGGCAGCTCGACGGATATTCTTGGCGTGTCGGCGGCGTAGAGCACGAGCGCGGCGATGCTGTAATGGAGGGGGATTGAGATTCACTTGAAAAACCTCACCCAGTGGTCCTGCCGAGAATCGAGCCAGGTGCATTACTGTAACTGACCTTGAATCTCTGGATAGCCTTGCGACTTCGAACTCCTCGTTTCACTCGTGTAGCCTCAAGGGCAGTATCAATCTCATCGTCACTCTCCAGTTTCTCCAATGAGACGGCAACACCGTCGTTGTTCTCTTCAGCTACAGCAAGTTCACTCTCATCCTCCTGCTCCTGCTTGAAAATCAGAATTTTAGCTAGTAAAAAAGTTCATTACATAGCAAGGGGAAGAGCAGGACACTGTACCTGTTCAACAGCATTGGCTGCTACTACGAGAAGGCCCACACAGACAAGAAAGATGAACTTCATTGTTGATGTTGACTGTGTGCTTGAAAAAACGCTTTTATACCCATAGGTGTGGGCTGCTTTGGCGCATAGCTAAACCCGTAAACTGCGAATTGCGAACGAAGAACTCGGTACGGATCATCATTGGGTGTTGTTGCAGATAAATCTACACATTTGAGTTCGGCAAAAAACTGAAGGCTCTGGTCATCGTTCGTTATCTTCCGATCAATTTCGTCTATTATGCTTCTCCTACTATGGCTAACAATCACAATCACAAAAGGCATTTTTGCNTCAGATTGGGTCAGTTTATTTTCAATATTCTGCTTTTTCATTGTTTTTCTTCAAGAAAATAGATACTGTTGAGAGATATATATGTCATATTGCTTTATAGTACTTTACCTACAAATGTATAGAACTGAAAAAAAGTTAGACTATAGAAGGACAAAAGATATAAACAAGAACTACTCAAAATAGTCATAATATTTCCATGTTTCCATTAAAGTTTTGAATGTTTCGGCTTAGTAGAGGAACAACTGAGATAGTCCAATTCACCCTTACTAGTTAGGACCCTCCTCAAAATGGACGAGTTTCGTGGGCCTGAGAGCTTAATTGGAGCACAAAAGCCAACTCATTCACTATAGCCATAGACACCTTGAAGTACGTTGTTGAATATTAGCAACAGACGCGAAATACTGTCTACTGCTGTCAGAAGTAGCTATATAGTTGTGACATATATAAATGGACACTTTTAAGTGAGTACAATTCGATATATCACAAACCACTGCAGCTTACATTAGTCCTATGCTTAGCTTATCTACGTAGCGCTGTTTTCACGTCAAAAAATTAATATATTATATGGTCGATACGATTTTCAGTCCACTTTTAATGACCACTTACGCGGTCTGCTTGTAGCCATCGTTCTTACGCTCGCAGTGCCTTTTGGGTGCAACTCCCCTTAAATCACACTGTTCTTTTTTCCCACTTCTCTTTTTTACGTTCTGTTCTTCCTGGGTCCAGTACGTATTGTTTTACGGCATTTCATGTATACGAGCAGTATCAGACGGGTATGGGTACATACGTGCGTCCGAGGATGCGCGCGGCAAGTTGCGCGGCCAAATTCATGGTGATTCAAACGTCACTGGCGCCTATTATTGGGGCATAAACTTGTAATGGAGTAGTTTATTGGGGTCATACGGCCCTACTAATCCACTCAAATTCAAATTTGGGCCCCAATGATGGCCGCTGTAGTCGTTCAAATTGCCATGAACTTCGCCGCGCGACTTGCCGCGCGCATCCTCGGACGCACGTAAGTTCCGTCCCCCGTATCAGACATACAATGGTGTGGTTATAGTGGAGATTTTGATCCGCTCTGACTTTTTGGTTTCGCCTCCTCAGGTTGGTCAAGAAAAACTTGTCCAACCCCCGGAAAAAATGACTAATGTTGGGGATCCACTGCTATTTGACCAGACAGTCGAACATTTATGAAGCTTACAGAGCAACTGGGATTGGGATGTGAAAAAAAGCTTATAGCTATGTTCTGCTTTCTTAAAAGAACGATTTCACTGAGGGAAAATTCAAAACGATTGCTTGTACCCTTCTAGCACAATCACGTGGTTCAAAATGCGGAACTACAATCATCAGGAACGAGGGAAAAAAATTATGGTCCTGATCCCCTACGGTCCATTATGGCAACATAGTTCATACTTACACAATGACTGCTAATAGCTAATGTCTTGGTCAGAAAGAAACAACAGCGGATGTGGCAATACAGCAGGCTGCTCGCTTAAAAATGCTTCCTGATGGAATATNTTTCAGAACGTTGAGATCATGTTTTGCAGCCATGCTTGTAAATTCAGATGTTTTCGTTCTCATATGTTATTATTAGAAACAGAATGTTGTACTGTCCATGATCAGATGGGATCTGAGACCGTCAGAGTAGATTTTTATATTGGGCACCCTAATCACCTGCTCTTCGTATGTTGACATAATCATTAAAGTTACTTCAGATGTTTTACTGTCTATGAATATCTCATTGATGAATTTTTAGGTGATTTTTTCAGTATATTTTCATTGCTTTGCATCATCGAATAGGCAGCTGACAAACAAGGCCATGTAAAGTCAAACTCCCCCTAAGTAATGTCCTGTGGTGTTTGATCCACGTCGATGAGGCGCATTTCGCGAAATTCTCAAATGCAGGGCTAAACTTACCTAGAAATAGTAATGCACGATTATTATTTATTAGGATAAGGGATAAAACCTTGGGACATTAGTCAATGCCGCCTGAGGGACATGTCCATGCATTCAACTTTGAAAGCTTATGTGGTCTGTCCAATGACTTCCGATGACCGGCTTTTACCCTCCCAGACGAGTTTGGTGCTAATTAATCGACCACGGAGGGATGGAACGCTTGGTCAGTCTAGGCGGATATCGGTCCGGTATTTGAACACTCGGTTATGCGTGTGTGGTAGTGCGCTGCCTCCCACTACACCACCTACGCCAATATTATTAGGTTGTAAGGAAAGTTCTGGCCGTTCCCACGTACTTGCGATATGAATTAAAATTTTGGCGGCTGTTCATTCAGACTAATCGACATATTGTGCTCTTCAGATAAGTCATTAGTTGCCCTTTCTGTCATAGCG